GCAGCATTTGATATGAATTATTTTCGACAAATTCCTGAATTTGGTTTTCGTTACAGGAATTTATAGCCATCAAAGACATCGACAAAAGATAATAACGGTTGATACAACATCAGGTAAATATGACAACTGATACAATATTTCTTCTTGTTTTATTCTAGTTGTACGTTGTTTTGTTTTCTTTGTAATGGAGGAGACCAGAATTTTTACGTTAATTCACGGCATTCTCAAACACTGCCAAGCAAACAATAATGCATATTAATGTACCCCAAATTTATTCATCGATGCCATGTATTAGTAGTTATGACGATACATTCGTCAGTATAATTAGTTCCTCAAAATGGACATTATTTATGAATGAAGCGAATATAATTTTCTCATGGATGAAGAATAATATATTTTCGCGGGATCTTACGACAATATAAACCAATTGAAAATTAGCCCAGCGACCTTTGTTATTTGTTAAGATATTTGTATATTCACTAGTGAAAGCATTCTTTGTCCTTTTTCATAGGTTCCGTCAACTCGATTCAGCGTTTAAGTACGCACAAAAATTCGATACTCACTGCTCTGTGATAAAAGAACACAACGTAGATCACGGGAGATGAAGAAGCGAAGTAGTCAGCAGTTGACCATCAATTGACCGGCGGCAGTGGCGATCAGCGTGGGAACAACTCAGGATCGTGCCAGATCGTCTGTGTTATAAACTGACATCTCTATCTATAAAAGGCAGGATGTGTGTGTGTGTGTGTGTAACGAATGCACGACCGCACTTTTCGACGGATTTGCACGGAAATTTACATGCACATCCTCCAAATTAGCGGTAAGGCCAAGACCAACTTTGCATTTCCCAACTCCCATCAATAGTGGAAATAATCGATTTTTTTCATGATTTTACGGCAGTTTTCATGTAGTCTGCGGCCATTTTCTACTGGCCAGAGTGAGAACCTATAGCTCTCTGCTACGAATAGGCAGGAAGATTCTATTGGCCAGCTGACTGACATGAATGATAACTAGTATGCTAGCATGCAAAAAAAATCGATAGCTGCATTCGTCACAAGTGGGAAACATTTAAATCTGCATGGCACTTTACTCCAATTGGCGTATTCGCTTGCTTAAAATCAACGTTGATTCTGATTCCGCATAACTGGGTTGAGTGTGAAAAAGTATTTGTTGTTAACATTCTTTTTTCATTCGGTTTTTCCAGTTACGAGTCCTTTTTTAAAGCTGATCCTGTTGTGTTCATTTTATTTAGTTCTTTTTTTGTAACAGATTTAATGTTTAGTATAGAGCTTAGAAAAAATTCGCAGTGTGAGATAGGCAAGAAGTAAGGCATGTAGCAACATCAGCACGGCAAATGGCACTCCTTTAAAGGCAAGGAAGGGCAAAAATATTTTAAGCCAAGTGATAGCGATCACTTTATGAGTCCTACGATTTTTGAATAAAGCACGGGAAACGCCAGGCCATGCTGCTATTTGCTAATAAAAGAAGAACCTTTTTCTTTTATGAACGGATTACCTTCAGGACGGAGCTCCCCCACCTCAAAGTACTGTCTTTTGTTTCTCCGAGTAACATTTACCATGCATTTTTGTCCTTTTTCTGCCATGTACCCATAAACTCGTTTTTCCCCTGCATATTTTGCCATCGGTATGTCCATCGCTATGTCCTTTCAGTATTACATCATTTGTCAATGTTTATTTCTTTATTATGTGTGGCAGAAATTTTAATTGAATCTTAGCATCTGTTTCTTCTCAATTCCTGTTCTTTTAAAAACATCTTGCTCTGTATTCCCACCAGGATAATTTCAGCAATCGTAGCGAGAATCACTTCTCTGTCACTTCATGTCTCTTCTTTATCTTTATATATCCTCCATATTTCACTGATATACAGTGTATTATATATTGCATAGCAGTATTGTTCTTGTGTATGACGACAAACTACATCCGCGTCCTGGGTAAGACGATAAACTACATCCAACAGCAAGGCTTTGATCAGGAGGTCTGAGGAGCGTGGAGCCACCTCTTAATTTCTGATGATCCCAAGTCCACCCTGATCCGGGGTGGTAGCACCGTTTAGGGTCCCAGCTATGGGCAAATAGTTATCCCACCAAATTCGGCTCAAAACACTATGAATGCGCAAAAATAGGTTGTAATACCAGAAATACTTGGAAAATACTTGGAAAACAAATATTACCAGCAATACATTTTTGAAAATAATATATTACCAGCTATATATTTTTTTAAAAACAAATATTACCAACGAAGGAAAATTCTTACAATAAATAGATTCTTGAAGGTAAAAATATTACCAGAAATAGCTTTTCGTAAAAATAAATATTACCAACAATGAAAATTTGTTGGTATTAAATAACCAATTGAGGTTGATATACCGTAAAACAAACCAAACCAAGCATAGCTGTATAAGACTTTTCTTTGTTTATAATGATTATTTCGTAAAGTAATAGTATTAAAAGGTTATTTAATATCAGCCCGTTCTGTATGGCAGTGAATGCTGGACAATCTCTTCACAGATGAAGAAATTACTTGAGACAAAAGAAATGCGGTTCTAGAGAAGGATGATATGAATGTCATGTACTTAAGATGTGGTTAATTGGGATGTTTTCAGGAAAATGAAGACAAAAGGAATTTAACAGCCAGGCCCAAAATGAATCAGTTAAAATTTCTAAGGCACATAGAAAAAAAGACATTTAACACTAATAGGAGACACGGAACTCAAGAGGGACAGTATCCTGCAAACAGCAGATCAGGGACTGTAAGTGATCGTGAAAAGACAAAATAATAGTAAGGGCTACAAATAATGGGAAGTTGACGAGCGACAGAATTGTAAAAGCCCTGAAAGTACACGGCATCTAGAAAAGAAAGAATTGATCGATATATCTCACCTGGGTTGCAAAATAAAGATTACTATTAATTGTTGTAGAATTATCAGGTGCCTAATATAAATTGGTCTTTATAATCGGTGACGTTCGATGATGTAATAAAATCTCCCTCCAAAATAATTAAATGTCGCTCGTCTATTATGCACCTAAGAATATATGACTTTATCCCATAGTCGTATTTCTGTTTCTGGTATCAATGCATTCACTCCTATGACATCATTGATACCAAAGTAGCTTTAATGCCCATGCCCATTGAACTGGATAGAAAGTAAGTGATATTTAGCTACCCCCACCACGAGGGTTGCATGTGGCACAAGGCCTGGTTTAACGTAGAATATTCCCTCTTTGAACCCGCACAAACAGGTTCAGGGGCAGTCAACCACCCCAAACGAGAATTTGCCCTTCGGCGGAGCCTCGTCCGGGTTCCTCTCCGCCTGAAGGCAGAGAGTTAGACTGTTCGCCAAGTTAGACGACTTCGTTTATAGTATCCTTACTATTGCCTTCTAGTAATTTTACTATGTAATGTTAATCACAATAGTTTTGTTTATCTTTGCTCTCTTTTACAAAGCCAAGAATTAGCATAAACTGTTACAGAATACAGAGGCCGGGCCAGGGCGATCAGCAATTGGACAGAATGTGGACAAGGTATTATCAGAGTGATGTCTAGCCTTCGTCTAAGCCCAAATTCTCGAAGTCAACAAAAAGGTCCGTCGAAATTTTGAAGCGTCGATATCTTTCATATACTGTGTTTAGAGAGACAGCCTAAGATCACAGGCGAAGAGACGCTAGATCAACAAGCGCCATGCATTCCCCCCACTCGGCAAGTCATTCCTTCCTCCTAGAATCTATACTGTCGCACCTCTCTCGCCCTCCTTTAATAAACCGAGTATGAAAAAAAAGTCTTTCGTTGATACGATCGATGCAGAAACATTGGGATCGAGTGACGATATGGAACGCAAAACACTTTTAAATATATTCATTTGGATACTCCTTGCATTTTCTCGATTGTCGCTATCACAGTTCATGCTAGAATTTCAAATTATTTCCCTATTTTTTGCAAAGTTCTCCAGAACTGCTCCAACGATCTATTTTCACTATTTCCCAAACTGCATGAATTTAAATGTGCCACTAGTTCGGCATCTTGTTCCCACACTGTGGTACTGTCGAAACTGTTAAATGTAGCCGTCTTTTTTACTCCAATAGCTTCATGTCTCGCATTTCCCCTCTGGGGAACTCCCTTCCTCGTATTTGCTTCCCTGATAGCTATAATCTTCAACTATACAAATGCAAATTTCAATAGACATTCTCTGATTCCCTGATCTATTCCCCGTGCTTCTCTTCATCCTTTTCTATTTCGCGCCTCTTGCTCCCACTCTCTGTAACCACTTGCGTGATAGCGGCACTCACGCCTTGCTTGGGGTGAAAAGTTAAAAAAAAAAAAAAACATTCAAACGGAAAGGAATGGCTAGGTACAGTCGTCGTCTCGTTATTCACTCATCTTCTTATTCTCTGGACGTGTTTAAATAATTTTCTAGATTTTCATTTACGTTACTGGGACTGAGAAAGCCTCTGTCTAACAGACCAATTTATAGAATCATTTCGAAGTTTGGTTCTCATCTTGATTGTTACAGATGTTTTTATAGACAAAGTTGGCTGATCGACTCCTTCACAATGACAAGCTCCATTACCCTGAACTTAACTGTGTGAACCGTGAAATGTTCGGTGTCCAAAAGAATTTAATATTTTACATTGTATTGTAGATGTCGTTTTGCTGCATTCAATATTGGTTTTCATGCTCATATCACTGTTCCTTGCACAATTCCCTTTGGATAACCATTTCCGACCACGCATCTTTTACACCTTTTAAGCTAATGTGGTGTATACTATTAGTAATATATTTTATTTATATAATATCCTTGCATATGCACAGATATTAGGAAGAGAATTCTCTTCCGTTTGGATATATTTGCCGTTTTGACAAGCGCCCCATTCCAACTCGTAACTCGTAAAATACGGACCATTTATATCGGCGACACAACGTCTGTACTATGGGCGCACCTCGATCCATAGCTGCCCTCTCTTCTCTTACAAAATCATAATTCAGCCAGAGCAATATTCCCATTTTTATTCATGTGTCTGATTTCTACTTCACACTCATATCTATCTATCTATCTATCTATCTATCTATCTATCTATCTTGTTTCATTCATTATCTATCTATCCATGTATCTATCTGCTTTCATTCATTATCTATCTATCTATCTATCTATCTATCAATCTATCTATCTTCTTTCATTCATTATCGATCTTCTTTCATTCATTATTTATCTATCTTGCTTCATTAATTATCTATCTATCCATCTATCTATCTGGTTTCATTCATTATCTCTCTATTCATCTATCTATCTTGTTTCATTTATTATCTATCTATTCATCTATCTATCTTGTTTCATTTATTATCTATCTATCTATCTATCTATCTATCTATCTATCTATCTATCTATCTATCTATCTTGTTTCATCCATCTATCTATCTATCTATCTATCTATCTATCTATCTATCTAACTATATTTTCGGGTAGTGTAGAGGATAACAGTTCGGTATGGGAAATCAGAAAGCCGAGTTCGAATTCCAGTCGAGTTCGTTACATTCACTTACGCGCCAAAAAATTTGCGCAAGATATGAATCTATTCTTCTTTCCCAATATATGGGTTAAACTCTAGGAATTTCAGGTAGAAAAATCATTCTTATCACCGAAAAAACTGTTACTACAATATTCATTCACAATAAATACTTATTTTTAAAATCACAAAAATATAGTTTTAGATTTAAATAAGCTAAATAGGGTTGATAATCCTGAGAAAGTAAATCAAGTATATCATTCTTCGTATGTATGTTATTTATCTATGTATTTATATATAATATATATATATATATATATATATATATATATATATATATATATATATATATATATGTGTTAATATCTATCTATCTATCTCTATACATACACACACATAAATACACACACACACACATATATATATATATATATATATATATATATATATATATATATATTTTATTTGTTTAGATGGGTGTATGTAATTGTATTGAGATGTAAGGTTTTATCCATATATGTTTATGTGCTCGTATGTGTATGTCCGTATGTATATATGTGTGTAAATGTATATATATGTAGGAGTGAATGTGTATGGATGTATGTGTATATGTATGTATGTGTGTGTTTATGTATGTATATATATATATATATATATGTGTGTGTGTATGTGTATATGTGTATATATATATGTATATGAATATATATATATATATATATGTTTATATGTATGTCTGTACACGCCTATATGTATGTATGTATATACGTGTAAATGTAAATATGTTGTTGTATATGTGTGTATACGTATGTGGTTTTGAACATAGAAATATAGGTCCTTGCTAGATTAGATAATCATTATATTTAGTTTTTATATGTTTATATTTGATTTGTAACCTGTAGTCGATATTAATTTTGTCAACTTTTCTTAATTACCCAGCGGCCCTTTCAGAAAATGCCCTTCAGTTTTACTTTCCCCAAGCCCCTATCTCTCTCCCCCACCTCTTTTGTCTTTTCTTTTCCACCCCCTCCCTCATATACTCATCTTTAAGATTAGATCGTCTATTGTGTGTGTATGTCACCACAAAATGTATCCTTTCCGTTTACATCTTTAATGTATTAGACTTTCGAGAACATTCATATTTCTCTCTGTTAAACCGTCTTTGACTCCCCTCTTTAAAACTTCTCACTATTAAATTTTAATCCCCCACCTTCCTCTTTAGACCTTCCTGCTCTTCTCTCGTTCTTCTCTCGTCTGTTACCCCTCTCTATAGCTCTAAAATTCGTCCCACACTCTCATACATACACTCTCACTAAATTTTATTTTTTATTCCCGGAGTTGTTTTTTTCTGTTTTCTTTTTGAATTGGTAGGTCTGATGACTTGGATCGTATTTACGATTCCAATGGAATAAATTATGACCATGGAATATTAGTGTTTAAGCCTATTATATATATATATATATATATATATATATATATATATATATATATATATATATATATTAGACATGTCTGATTGACATTATGTCTGCTAATTTTAATAAAATCATTTCATACTCACGAATAACCTTCAGTGTATTGATGTTAAAAGATGAGAAAATATTCTCTAACTATTTAAATTTATTTTATTTTCATTTCGATCTTTAACCAAGATCATCTTCAAGGGATAAAGTGGTACAAAATTATATGTTTTCATTCGTATAATTATTTATGCGTTGTTATCCATTACCGTAAATTTTCATTATCGTTTTACATACAAAACGGTAGCACATCTTTATATTTTATTAGTCATAATGTCTGTAATTTATTACATCAGACATGTCTAAATGAGAATTTTCTGCTTAAATACACACACACACACACACACACACATATATATATATATACATATATATATATATATATATATTGTCAAATTAGCAATTTGCTACATAAATCAATCCAAAAAATTGGACGAATAAATACCTTTATCATCCCAGAAGAAAATAAAACATTAAATAAGCGACCTAGGCAAATACCCTCATTTTTTTTCCTACGTTAATAACACACCGAAAACAGAATAAATAAATATAAAATAAGTAAAACAAATTAACTCAAGTAAATAAACAAGCCACTCCAGCCAGAATAACCGCCAGGAATAGATTAACCACAATGCACCACTGACCCACGTATATATAAATAGTCGAGAAAAATGCAACATTCGCGGCCTGACGATTGCGTCGATGCAGTCAACACGCAGTCTCTGACTGTGCGCGACTTCCCTCGAACACTCTGCTTTGGCAGAGAGGAACCCGGACGAAGCTATGCCGAGTTTCGAGGGGGAGGTAGAAAGATCCCGAACCCGCTTACGCGGGTTCTAAGGGAATATTTGTGGCCGATCCTACGGGCTCGGAGAAACCCACGTTTAACTCGGCCTTGTGCCACATACATTCCTCGTGGGGGGACTTAAACATCGGCCTGACGTTTGCGTCAAGCATGAAACAGCCTGTCTCGTCTGAGTGCTGACGTCAATATTCTCTTACATATATATATATATATATATATATATATATATATATATATATATATATATATATACAAAACACTCAAGTGAGAGAAAGAAAAAATGGAGTAAAATCCACAGTTCATAGCATTTACTTTTAAAAAGTTTCTCAATACAAAGTAAAGCGAAAAATTATTAATATATTTTTATTCTAAGAGATTATAACAAAAAATATAATAAATTGCTACACAAAAGCTTTCATGTTTCAATGCTATGATTGTACATCCCAGGGCGATTGTTGGTAACTGGTGATAAAATGATTTAATGAAATTTAAAAACAAATCTTTACCTCTTTTCCGAAAATTAAACGGGAGGCATAAGATCAGAATTAAAAAAATATAGTTTTAATAATATAATCTAATTCTATATATATAATATTAAAATGACATTTAATTGGTTAATAGAGACATGCCCACAAGAATGTTTTTAATTCTGACGTTATGCCCCCGCCATTTAACTATCGGAAAAGAGGTAACAATTTGTTTTTAAATTTCCTTAAAAATCATTTTATCACCAATTACCAACCATCGCCTGAGGAAGTACATTTAAAATATTGAAACATGTCATCTTTGTGTAGCGATTAAAAATATTTTTATTATAATATATATATATATATATATATATATATATATATATATATATATATATATATAAATTCCCAAGAGGATAGAATCCATGTAGAACTCAATGTCCAGAGCAGAGTAAGAATATAATATAAAAGATTATAATTTATTTGTTATTGTTAATTTATTACTGACCTACAAATTTAAAAAGAAATCGGAAAATATAACTCCGATTTTTGCTTTTATAGAAATTTTGTTTTTTATACTAGTAGAAAACACAAATATAATAACTTCATCCTCCTGTAAAAAAAAGAAAGATTAAAAATAATGGATACTTTAATAATAAAAAAAGAAAATGGCATCTCTTAACAATATTAACTACGAACAAGGCCACAATGTGCTAACCGTATTCGGAAATTCAAACATCCTTACAACATACTAAAACATACGCATAATGCATAGACTCAATTAAGCTGAAAAATCGAATCATCCTCGATAATGGCTAAAACATTTGGACAGTTTTTATACATTCTTTGTCCAGAAAAGAAAGCTCTTTTTCGAACACAAGAAAATTAAATAAAAAGCTTAACCATAGTACCTAGTCTGTCGTTTTTTAAATAAAAATGCATATATATATATATATATATATATATATATATATATATATATATATATATATATATATATATATATGAGTTATTTTTTTCTCGGTACACGTCGTTGGTCCTCTATGAATGTTTATTTTTATTTTTCTTAAACTGTGAACAACCAGCCTAGAAATAATAACAACCGACTTAGTTCGAGACATTCTACTAAAGAAAAAGTAAATCTTCCCACAGACAGTAAATATCTACAATTGTGTCTTGCAGTCAGTTTGCAAATCCAAATAAAAGTCTCTAGATTGCATATTACTTGTCAAGAATATTTCTACTTACAGAATTAAAGCAATAAAATCATTCTCTATAACCTGTATAGCAGACTAAACTTTCTATCTATCTATCTATCTATCTATCTATCTATCTATCTATCTATCTATCTGAAAGACTTCCCAGCACGTGAACGTATGTCCAAACATGAATATTTTGGAGTAATCTCTTCTTGGATGGGCCGTGATTTTTTCCTCTTCGTGCTATGTCTGGTACACTTCATATTTCCTTCTCTTATGTAAGGACATACATGATTTTATTTTAATATTTTATCCCTTCTCTTCCGTCACTTGTTATTTTTAAGGGAGAATTTATGGCCCGGTCTTCTTTTACATTAGCTGCATCTGTCTTTGAGTTTTTTTGTTTGGTTTTTTAATTTATCGTAAAAAATATTCACCTTTTTCTATTTTTTTATTTATTATTTTCCGACATTTTTCTTCTACTATTGGATTTGGCATTTTTTACTTGTCCTTGTTTATTTACGACAAAATTTCTTCCTTCTTTTCTTTATTCTTTTATTTGATTTATTTTTAAATTTTTTTTCGTGTATTGCATTCTTTCTTTCTTTTCTTTATTTCTTTCCCTTTTCTTTCTTTGTCATTATCTGCACTCTTTTGTAATATCTTCTTTGCTTTTCTTCTTTTTTATTTTTCCTTTCTCTTTTCCTACTCATTGTATTCCTCCTATTTTATTTGTGCATTACGTTTTCATTAATCTCTGTTTTCCTTTCATTTTCCATCTCTTTTTTTTTCCTTTTTTATTCCTTCGACACTTTACTTTTTCTCCCCTTCATTAGTCGACTCTCTTTATTTGCTTTCTTTCTTTCTTTCTTGCTTGTTTGCTTTTACCGCTTTTTCTAATTTCTCGTTACCATTTCCTCATTTTCAGTGATGCCATCTAACATTTAATCATTTTCTCATTCTTTTCATTCCTTTCTACTATTTATTTCGTCATTTTTTTCTTCATCTTCTTTCTTTCATTCTTTATTTGTTTGTTTGTTTGCTTCTTTCTTTCTTTCTTTCTTTCTTTCTTTCTGTGCACTCTCAATCTCCTCTCCCTGTTACACGCACACACTCTCTCTCCCTCTGTACTCCTCAGCCTACACAAGGCCATCTTGTCGCCTACATTATCACTCGCTATACACTGGTCACGTGGTGTCGCCATGAAGCCTCTGTCGTTTTCTTCCATTTGCGAGAAAGAAAAGCCGGTGTTGAGATCAAGTTTCAGAAACTCTATAGTTCTGAACCATTGGGGGCCAGTAAGGTTACATTCCGCGGACGCAACGTCGCGCCAGATGTCTAAGATATATTCATGGGCTGGAGAGGGACCACGGCGCGTGGTGGGGTGCAACAAAACGCACATTCGTCACAGGAGCAGCCAGAAGATATTTCCTGGATACAAAATCCGTATTATCTGTTCTTTAGTTCTTTATGAGAAAATGTCTGCTACCCAGTCTATATTATTGGGTCGCTGATTTTTTGAGTATGCGCATGCGCCTATCCAGGAAGTCCGAATTGGGAGACTGAGATACTAACCAGGAATGCATCAGTGAACCATATTCGAGTTTAGATAAAAGTTGTAGAAATGTATTTCACTATAAACCAGTAAAAAGACGTGTAGTCGATTCTTTTCAAGAAGAACTTCAAAATGTGTAAAGGTGTGAGCCAACATATTTTGTATAACAGAACACTTTGTGAAAATTATTAATTCAAGCTTAAACCTAGTAATATGAAGGAGACGGAATTAAGTCAGACCCATGACAGTGTAAGTGATCCTGTTCTGGGACCTTAACCCTTCATTTTTTTCATTGAGACTGAGGACTAAAACGTATTCTTCTTCAATGTGACACGTCGCTTCAGGACATAGACGATCATGGCTATCCAAAACTTCCTATCTCTTTTTGGCCTTTAGGAGTTTTTCTCCCCTTGCTGAAACTGCTGCCCCCACATCACGTTCCGCCATCCACTAACAACACCTCGTCAATTATGTGACCCGCTTCCTTCCCTATTTTTTTTTGCCATCGTTATGCCCTGTGAGGATTATGCTTTCTAAACACTCCTTCCTCATTATGTATCCAAGAAATGCCGGCTATCTCCTGCTGATTCTGAGTAAAAGTTTTATTTTATGACTTCTTCTTTTGTTCTTTCACTAAGTTCAAGGAATTCTCCTGAAAACCACATTTCTGTTCTCTCCAGTTTTCTCTTCATCTGTGAGAAACTGTCCAGCATTCACTGCCTTATTAGAGGATTGGTGCCCTATTGGCCGGAATGTATGAATATAATCAGCAGTGTTGTGACAATTTTCTACTTTTGAAATAGCTACATGTAACAATAAGTTCTATTCTAATAATTTATTTTCGCATATTTCACACCTGTGGAATTCTTGTCCGATTTCTTGTTTTAAATGTAAAATACAATCTTCATAAATATCGATTAAAGCCAATCGCCATTATCTGTCTTTCTAAAACCTGTCCTTTGATTGTTTTTTTCTCCTCAGAAATGTTTTCTCATTCTGTTTCACTTCCAGTAATCCTTTGTGTTTTAATGGTATTATCACATTGTGATGAAATGATATAAAGCGTTCTATAATGACGGAATACATTTTAAATGAAGAATCTAGAAAAATTATAAAAATTACAGAAAAGACCAAATATATTTATTTCATAACTTATATACAAGAGTTCAACATATTATCTAATATTTTCATATTTCTTTTTATGTATTTCATATATATTTTGCTGACGTTTAGCCTTCGTAATGTCTTGGACACCAAAAAAATTGGATATGTAGTGGAAGCTTAATTCACCAGACACACATCGTTCCATGTAACCCAAAATGAAATTCCGACGGCATTTTGGAAACGACAGGCAGTAACCCGAAAGGTGATCCTGCGTACTGTTACAAACTTCCGTGAGACACGCAATGCCAACAGTGTTTGAAATGAAATAGCGAGAAGGAACATGTTTTCTTCATGGTGGTGGCCATCTCAGGAATCGTAATATTGAAATCTTAGGAAAGATGTCGAATTCTTCGTAATCAGTTACATAATAAATATATTTGGTAATCTATGTCATTTTTACAATCAAAGATACTTGCATCTAAAATGCGTCCCATCTTTATGGATACCATATATATATATATATATATATATATATATATATATATATATATATATATATATATATATATATATATGTGTGTGTGTGTGTGTGTGTGTGTGTGTGTGTGTGTGTGTGTGTGTGTGTGTGTGTGTGCGTGTGTGTGTGTGTGTGTGCGTGTGTGCGCTATATGAATATAAAATGGGCATAATATCTATCAATCTGCAGCTACACACACATAAACACACACACACACACATATATATATATATTAATGCATGTTTCATTAAATAATATAGACAAGTTTTGTCTATTTATTTTAAGTAAGTTCCATTCATATTGTATAATAAGCTTAATAACTTTATTATTGAAAGACGAATGGAAACAACCATATTGATACTTGCTTAAATCCATTCTAAGCTTTCGGCTTCCATAAGTCATTATCAAATATGTCAATTACTTTACAATATATCAACCAATAAACGGACGAAATAATAATGATAGTCTGTTTTTTTTTCCATGAAAAATTTCAAAGCAACTACTAACTCGTGTATACGAAACGCGGAAGCGAAAATCGCGTCAAGAAGTATTAAGTATGGGAAGCCGTTGGTATAAACCAATGGCTTCTGTTATCATTTATAGGCATTTAAGAATATTTGTGGAGATTTTGTAGTTTATTTTGTTCAGGTAAGGTTTCAAGTGTTTTATGTATATAGCTTCAAGTATTTTTAGTTTTTATTTATTGTTTTCATGTTTAAGTATAGTTTTGTTTTCAACAAGTATTTTCCTGAATTGTGTACGCGGCTAGGCATGTTATTTTAAAAGCCTAAAAATGAGTTATCATTAAAATGTAGTGTCAATCGGCGTGATAGCGAGGTTGTGGTGTGACATAAATATTATTTAAACCATTGGAGATACAATCTCCCAAAATGCACTCGAATTTGTAAACTATGTTGGTTCTTTGCAAATCCCTAATAGGGAGAGGGGAAGAATCATTGCGAATAATATCAGACAATATGAAAGGAACTTACTTGAAATAGATAGACAAAACTTGTCCATAATATCTAATGAAACAGGTATTAATGAAAAATTGCTGCCTAAATATACACAATATATATATATATATATATATATATATATATATATATATATATATATATATATAGCATCATATTGTCTAAGTTCTGTAACGGCACAATTGTCCATCCCACAAAATATTTAACATCGAAAAAAACAGTAAGCTAATTGAGTTCCTTTTTTTCCAGGCTTTCAGATCAGAAGTTTAGCCACCATCTGTCGTAAGACTCACTGAAAAACATTTTGAGTTATTCAGCTAAAAAGAGAGCAGGTTAAAATTGTTTTGTGTCAGACACACTATCTTCCCAATTGAGCAAGGTGAGAGGAAAAAGATCATTCAGGCGTTTAGTAATGTTTCCAACATTCATACTCTTCAAATCCATTCAGGAACAATCAAGAAAACGATGTATAAGTTTTAAAAATTAGGGAACTGTACAGAGGGAAACAGATTCAGCATGTCATAACTGTAAGAGGGATATTCATTTCAACTTACAGCTAAAGATATCAGTTAGAAAAGCTCCAACTAAATCCAAATAACTTTTGGCACGTGAGCTATGGCAGTCTGAAGGGCAGTGAACAAAGACTTGAAAATAAAATCGTACGTGAAAACTATGAGGTAGATTTTTACTCCAGGACAGAAAGTTAGAAGTGTAGAGAGGGTGACGATCAACTAGAATAAGTCTTAAATGATCCTTAAATAATATATATATATATATATATATATATATATATATATATATATATATATTGGAACGTTATTTCAGTACTTCATGAGCTTCCAATCTTTAGCTATGATTAATTAATAATTAACGTATCCAACAGCGTGATAAAAACCTCAGCAAATTCCAGTAAGTTATCTTTAATCATTTCTAAGTACAATGGTTACTCTTAATGTAACAAGTGGACAATTTTGCTGTTAGAATATTTGGACAATTTCAATGTTACACCCGGTTTCTGTC